TAGGGTCACTATGAGTCAGCATCACCTGGACCGCAATAGGAATAGCACCTTGCCTGCCTGGCCTGCTTAATGGAACTGTTTCAGCAATGAAATAAGAAACCGTTTGTGGCCACACTTTGAAAACTGCAAAACCCTGTGCAGGTGTAAGCGCTAGTGGTCTCCTTATTATCAGCATCAAAGGATGTGAAGGGGCTTCCTTGAGCCCCGCGGGGCTCGTCACCCTGGCCCGCTGAGGTCAGCAGATAGGGGGCAGCCGCGAGCAGGGGAGCTGGCTCGCGCTTCTGACGCAGGTTAATTGAGTCCACATTTCAGCCCTGCTCCATGCATGTCAGACAAGGTGGTTTAGTGAGGGTTGGAGTTGGTGGGGGGGAACGCAGAACAAGGAGGTTGTACCACCCCAAGAGTCACGACCCCACCCGGCTGAAAGGAGCGCCGCAGGACAGGGTCCTTAGAAAGTGGGAAATGTTCTCCAAGTGGCCACGGTTGTTTTTCTTTTAACAAACCAGAGACTCGATTCCTAGCTGGATGAAGGATGAGTCCTCTTTACTTAGCCTTGGGGAAGGGGGTGGTATGAGCTCGCTGCGTTTCTCGGGTTTTCCCTTGAATGGAGGCCTGAGAATCAAGGCAGGGTAGGGGCAGGGGTCACCCTGGGTCCTTCCATAGGGCAGGTGGCGCAGGAGCCTGCATGGGATCTCTGGGCTTTGTCCCAGGGTGGGGCCCCCTCAGGGCGCCTGCTTCCTTCCCTGGTGTGAGCCCCACACCAGCTGAACAGCAGGAGAGGGCCTGTGTCTGTGGGGGCTCCTCCCAGGGTGTGGCTAAGAGACTTACTGTCTCTGCTTACAGGCATCGCCCCCAACATCACCAGGGGCCCCCTGGACAGCACAGTGATTGACGGCATGTCGGTGGTGCTGGCCTGTGAGACCTCAGGGGCTCCCCGGCCGGCCATCACGTGGCAGAAAGGTAAGTGGGACGGACCTGCTTTAGGGGGTTGGGGTGACCATGTGACAGTCTAGAGTAGTCCTCAGAGCTGGATTCTGGAGCCCTCCAAGTTGAGTTCCAGGCCCTGGACGAGCCCTCCAGGTTGAGTTCCAGGCCCTGGACGAGCCCTCCAGGTTGAGTTCCAGGCCCTGGACGAGCCCTCCA